AAGATTTTTCCATCGTAAAATATGTAGTCTGTTAGGCAACACTGCAGCAAAAGCAGGTCCTAAAAATATGTTACGTAATTTATTTCCAAATGAAGGACTTTGGGTAAAAGAAACCAAATCAAAACACTCTTTGATTTGAATTACACATCAGGGATTTTTACATTCCACTCTCTGAAGTTCCATTTACCCTCCTCTTCATTCCATTTGGCTGACCATTGGAAGGAGCAATTGTATTTTAAAAGAAAAGCAGTTATTAAGGTAATTTCAAATATGTGTCTGGTGGTGTCGTTAAAGAATGTTTAAAGTAATCTTGAACGCATACCCACTCCCCAAAAGTTTGCCTATTACAATAAATAATTTGTTTTCTTTTAGTAACTGATGGAAACACCGAACATGTCCACAATTTATTTGTTATAGTAGCATGGAAGTACTTCAACGATCCATTCTGGACCATCCTCAGATACTATAATCAATTGTTTCAAACCTAGGGCACCTCACCACATAGCAGGGTACCCAGCACGAGGCATTTACTCATCTCCCTGGTTTAGAAGTGCTGAGACTGAGTGCATACACTGTAGCATTCTTTCTGGCAAGAAAACAGTATTTCAACTTCCATTAGTGAAAAGATTGCTAGAAGGGAATTTGTTAAATACTCTACTATTTTACTGCTTGTGAAAATAATTTTGTAGTCTTCTATTATAAAAAACCCCTTTTCATTACAAAAATATTTTAATACAAAACCATCACTAGGTAAGATATGTGAATATTTTATTGCTATTTTATAAATGTTCCTAGAAATGGGTGACAGAAGAGTCATAGTCTCACTTGGCTCTAGATAGCAACCATTCTTTAAGGAAATGAAAAGATTTCTTAACACTCCTGCTTAAAGAAAATAAAAAGGACTAAGAGAATACATACATAAATCCCTTACAAAGAAAATATTTTGATATCAAGTCAGGAACACTTGAACATTCTTCCTAGAATGGATCATGTTAATCCAACCATCAATGAAATCAAAGATTTCCATTCACCTCAGTTTTGTGCAAATGGAGTTGTACTGAACGCTGTACAGAGATGAAAGGTAGACACCAAAGAAAAGGATTCAATAACTAACTCACACAAAATCTATCTTCTCTTGTTTTCACACTGACGGAAGAGTATGTTACAGAAAATAGTTTATGTATTTTAGTATTTCATAAATCATTACTGGACATGAAAACAGTTTGATGAAAGAATCACTAAGCAACAGAACAATATATGCCTTCATCCAAAAAGGTTATTTGTAGGGCCCATGCTCACTAAGAGTGCAAACCCTGGGAGCTATCACTAGCATGTTGGCCAAACAGAAATCAGTTTAGCAGAAAACTATGAAGCTGATCAGCACTGAGTTCAGACAAGCATTAGTTCAGTTAACATCATTGTAAGAATGAACAAAGAAAAGTTCTATGTGAAATACAAAACAGTTGAAGTCTGGAAGTTCACACTTTTCAGTATGTGACTTTGATTTTTTTGCTGGACTTTAAAAAGCATCCACCCACAGTATTATCAGCGTAACGCAGAGCTTGCTGGCAGCTAAAAAGGTTCATTTTGGCTTTTGTAAAATGCACACACCACTGAAGAACAGATGCACTCTGACTTTTATCTTCCTAAAGAAAATAGAAAGTACAAACCAAGATAGTTTGCATCTATTAATGCACTGATTTTACTACATTACTTGCCAATTTTAAACCAGAAGAGATAAGAATATCTCATACTACAGTACTACTCATTTTAAAAGCATCCAATTAATAAGTTTTCTTTGTTACAGATGTTGGATGAAAACTTCCTTTCTTTAAAACTCTCTTTTAGGATGGTTCATATTGAAAGTCTTGGGCTGGGACAAGGGTTCCTGCTCCACCGTTACTGCTGCAGTTAAAAAAAAAAAAAAAAAAAAAAAAGAAAAAACCCCAAAAAAACATTCATCACTGAATGAATTCTTCAATTTAGTTAGCAGTTCAGTTCATCCTTGGATTACTGTTAGAGGGGGAAAAATCTCTTTATTATTCATTCATGAAAATTTTACAATACAATACAGTTATTCAAGTTGGGAAGGAAATGGTGTCCCTCTGACACAGCTTGTACCTCTGCATAGGAACACCGTGAGGCACATGGTACAAAGCTACAATAATTGTTATCTAGTTCCCTCAAAACCACGAGCTCATAGTATATCAAAAGGCCTGAAGAGTAGGGATTAGAAGATAGATCAAAAGACTAGACATCAACAACTTAAAGGATGAAGTTACTACATAGCAAGAAACATTTCTGTAAGTACATCAGAAGGAATTACAGTGCAAGTGAGTAAGGCAGCATATATATGTTGGAGAACACTTTGGCAATAAAAAGGAAATATCCAGTAGCCCAGGCCAGCAAGCAGAAATGAACGTACACAGTAAAACCACGAGCTAGCTGAATCATTCCAACAATTGCAGCATTCTATCAAACTTGGTACGTTCCCTCCGGAGCAGAAACTTGAGCGATATCATCTGTGACAAAACATCCACTATAATGGACCCCCAGTGAGAGGATTTGGTCTGTGACATATTCAAAAGAACTATATGTACTTAGTCATGCAAAGCCTTTTTAAATATTGTGACAGGTTTCTGACAACTCTTGAGAGCTGGAGACTAGAGGGAGATAGAACCAGTGTGATTAACCCTTTCTGCAGTCTGATTATTTCTACAGCAATAACACAGACCACACAGTATTGCAACTTTTTTGTTACATGGCATCTCAGTAAGGAGTCTGCAAAACTTCACCAGTGGCCTGTACAGTTCTGGCTAGCTTTAACTCTACTGTTACTGGCTACTGACCAACAGCATCGCTGCTTGTGCTGCTTTCTTCAGTACAACCCCTGTGCATCACCTTTCTGTTTGATGGTACTGGCTGCTTTGTGAAAGAGAATCCACAGACTGTTCTTCAAACACTGAAAACGTATCTGTAGATTGGGACTGTCCCAGGAAGAAGAATTTTATCACTGCACATCAGTCTTGCAAAGCATTGGGAAAAGGGATGCGTTTCTGGGAGGGCATGTGCCTAAGGAACAAGCCTAAACAGTAAAACTAAGCTAGATGTGCTGGACCAAATCCCTTATAAACAGGAAACCTAACACAGTTCTGAAGATGCCTGCCCAGATTCAGAACTAGTGGACTGGGTATTTGCTAGATCTTTCAGCAAGTCAAAAATGTTTGAGAGGAACAGTGCGAAGACTGCAACTCTGAGAAATATAAATAGGCATAGGGTATACTGTACCAGTGCATTTCATGCTAGTTTTGTCCTGTATGCACAGGACACACCTGCAGCTTGATCCCAATTACATGTACCTGAAGAAGTTCACCCAAAAGAACTGGCAGTCAGGTTTTAAGATGCATATGGCACCAGTTTTGTATAACTTTTCTCAAAGACTTAATAAAATGTTGGTGTTGGCTTTATAGTTGGTATAGAAGCACTGCCAAAATAAATGTTTTTTAAAAACCCAAACAAACAGTTTTCTTTTTTTTTTTTCTTTTGAACTCAGTATTACATTTCAGTCACATTTACCAAGCATGTCTGTTCCATCTCTATTCTGCTCTATTCTTAGGCTGTGATTGTTACTGCAATATCTTAGTGTCTCTTAAAAGCTGAAACAGACCTGATAAATCTCAGAAATTCCTCATCTGGCATTTCAAGCAAGGCAGCTGCCTGAAAGCTTCACTAGCCACTAAACCCATGAGCCGCAAGAAAGTGCTTTTCTCAGCCAAGTCTTTATAAAGCTCTTCTTATACTTCCCGCACTCATCCCTTACAACAGCACTTTTATCTGCCCATTGTTACTTGCCAGATCCAGCCTTTGCCAGACACAGTCTTTAAAGGGCTACAGCTTTTGTCTGTGCCTTTTTTTGCTCTTTAGTTAGTTATTAAAACTTAGTTTCAGTTAGCCTTTATATGGTTATTTCAAAGACATTCTACAGAGTGATGTAAGTCTACCAGCTACTAAACAGTTACAGCCATCTCACCAGGATTCTGAAAACAGGACCAGTCCTATGAAAGGTGCATTCTGCACTGACTCATTCCAAGCAGAATTTGGCAAGACGTGGAAGCAAGTCTCATTTCAGTTTTAAGAGGCACAGTAAAAACTAATTTATAAACTTACACATATTTAAAGCTACAGCATACTCTCTTATACATTCTGTATTAAAAAAAAAAGTGTTATCTTAATACTGCAGCATCTTCCAGTGGTTTGTAATAGCTTTCTAATATATTTATCAGCCAATTCCTACTTGTTACCATCACTGACAATTGGCGATATGCACTGAACATATTTGATTCCACTTTCCAGCACAGGCCATCTCTATCAGGAGTATCAAACCAACTCCTTCGAGATGGAGTCCTTCTTTTAACTTCTTTGGTGTCGTTGTGAAATCTTGACAGTTTAGTACCTGCTTAAGTAAGTGCACGCTACATGAAAATCAGTTGACACAACTGTGAAGTTGTTATTTCGTCTCCATGAATGTAAGTTGTATGTTAAATCACACTACTCGACATAGGAAAAAACACATCCTTTGATAAACCAAATTATCAAAACCAAATACTAACAGGTCATGCACAAGAAACTTGATGAATCATTTAGCAAATCTTGTAGGAAATTATAGTTATCTTTTAATTATTTAACAGTGTATTTTCTCTTTTTAGGCAGAAGAATCACAAAAAAATCCCATGTATCTTTCAACATCAGCAGCACTTAGTATTATGTCTTATTCCAGATTTTTAGAACCACTGAAGAAACACTGTTCCTCGGTAGGAAATAATGCATTTATTATTATTCTGATAAATGTAGAGAGAAAGCAGCACATGAGAATTACCATGAGCAAAATGAAATTGCCAGTTTCCTTTCAGTTGGAGAGAACATGAATCTCAGAAGAGAAACAAAGTTAATACAGACGCTAGCATGAAAGGAGAAATGTTCTTTATATACCAGAAACTTACCAGTACTGTTCGCCCTTGGGAAATAAAGAAATGGCCAGATACAACAATGGTAAGGATAAGATGGCCTGATTCTTCATTTGATTCAAAAACCTTTAAAAAGATAGACAAAACAGAAATCTAGCCCTGTAATCACAGAATCTACATTTCCCATTTCTAGTGCAATATGAAAGGCTTCAAAGGTCGATGTTACAAGTCAGGTATATAATTTAGCTCTCAGTAATGCAACTTGCCGTCCTCTCCCAGAGACAGGAGGCACATTTAAGAATTTTTTACTAATTATAATTCCATATACAGACCTAACTACTTTAAACAGCCACCTGGACGCTTCCAACTTGATCTGTAGTTTTTAATACCACAGGTCACCACTGAAGGTAGAATTCTGAAAAAAAGTGGGCCACTAACTATCATACCATTGATGTGCTCGCATTAATAATTCATGAAGCAAAATCTCTCCCAATTCCTGCATTAGCTCTGGACTTACAAAAATATACTTGCAAATGCCTCCCTTATTACTGCTTGCTACACAGCAGCCTCCCAGACCCCACTGGAGCCAGTTACAGTAAAACCAAGCAGCCCCGCGCCGCCCATCACCTTCCAAGAGGAGGTGTTTTGCCCCTCATCCTCGCCGTCCGTCGGGGGTAGGAAGCGGCCGTAGCGCTTCAAAGGCCACGTTCTGGCGCTGCCGAGGAGGGAGGTGTCGCCGGAGCCGCCCGGCTCAGCCGCCTGCCCCGGCTGGGAGCTGCGACGCCCGGCCGCCATAGCTGCGCTGAGGGGAGAAGCGCCGCCGCGGCGGCGGGCAAGCGGGAAGGCGGGAGCCAATCGGAGGGAAGAAAGAGCTTGTGGGGGGAACTGTTCACCAATCAGCGGGCGGCAGGGAAACGAGAGCCAATGAGGGAGCGCGCTCGGGCTCGTGCAGGGCCCTTCTCCAGCGCTCGGTGGCACGCGCTGCCTGAGGGGCTGTTGCTCTCCTTTCTTCAGCGGGGCTGCGCCGCCGCGTCTTGGGACGGGGTGTCTCGTCTCGTCGCCTTCCCAGGGTGTTAATTCTCCGAGGGCAGCGCGGCTACTGCCTTTCCCCCCTTCTCCTAACAGGCTCCGGGTGTACCAATGTGGCGGGACCGCCCAACGGTGCCGTGGGAGAGAGGGGCGCGCACCCCGGGGCACGCACGACCGCCATTTTGTGGAGGGTAAGGGAGCCGGGGCTGCGCAGCGGGCAGGAGGCGGCCGTGCAGGCGCGGGCCATTGCTGCGCTCCGTGGAATGCCTGCAGAAGCTGGCCTTTTCATTTCTTGGAGCCAGGTGCTGCGGTCACTTCACAGAACTTCAGCAGTGCTTCTTGTGGTACCTAAAGTGGGGTCTGTGTTAAATGTCAAAAAGCAGCTCTCTTGTCAATGTGCGCTGCGCGGTGTTAGCACTGGTTTGTACAGCTGGATCAATCAAAATTGCACTCCTCTTCCCATTTTGCTTCCTCTCTGCTATTAGATTGCTTCTAGAATTACGTAATGCTACACTATTCCCTAGAAAAAGAGTGGTGGTGAAATGACTCATAATAAGACTGCACTTAGGTATTACATTTATAGTAAGTATCTTGGCCCATTAACAACAAAATATGTGCATTAGCCAGTCAAGGTCAGTGAGGGGGCATGGAGGAGCCAGTTACTGTTCAGGAAGACATGCATGAGAGTCTACTGACCTGAACAGCCTTTGGGATGCCGATCACCACTAGCCGCTGTTAAACCGTCCGTGTGCTTGACGTTACTATGCCAGTAGCTTTAATTCCAGTTCTGAGCATTGCCTACTGCCAGCAGCACATATATGACCAAGATGAAGCTTGGCTAAATAGTCATATCTCTTAAATTAAGCAGAGCAAAGAAGTTTATGCCACTTTTTTTGCTTTTTGTTACTATTATGGTTTGCACTTACGATGCTGGCCTGGTTGATGTGAATAAGGTTAAAATGGAATGAGTAATTACCATCTCACCTCAAATAAAACCTTCAGGTACAAGGTTGACCTATTACTTAAACTGCAGTGGTTTCATCTGTTAGAAGATATTGGATTGACATTTATGTCACATGGCTGTTGTGTTTTTCATCTGGTGTTATGCCCTGAGAGCCAGATTGATACCTGAGAAACTATTTCCATAATAAACCATTTTATAGTGTTTTCACAAGGAAGGTAATTATCTGAGTGTTCTGCAGATAGGGAAACACAGGCAGAAATGCATTAAATGCCTTGACAAGGTCATCCAGAAAAATGAGTTGTGAAACAGGGAATACAGCATGGGCCTCGAAGCTGCCAGTTGCCTTTTCTAATCACTTCTTTCCCAGGAGGATTTCTCAAATTGTGCTTGTCAAACATTCAGAATTGGCCTGTAGACTTAGAACTTTCTTGAAAACTACGGAAGAAGCAAAATATTATTGCAAGTGAAAGATAGTGTGAGTACATATATTGAATCTATTTTCCCCTAATTCAGCTGAAGTTCTGTGGAAAATGGTTTGTTTGCAGCATCTTCTAGTGTCTAGTTTCCAAGAGTGATTTCTGGCAGATGTGCTAAAGGCTTCTGCAGGAGGAAAACAAGTGCTCAATTTTTTACCAAAACAAAAATTTCAAAATGTTGTTTCAAAAGAGGCAGAAGTAAACCATAAGCATCAGATACTCCCATCAAATCCTTTAACAATAATGTATTATTGAAATAGCATGTGGAAAGGAGTTATTAGGTGCACATAAAGCCAGTCACAGTGTGTAAAGAGCTGTACAAATTCTTTCCTTCACAGCTTTGTTAAGGCACCTGGGTAGTGTATACAGTACCTGCAGTTTATTTAGACCAGAAGCTCAGCCGGGGGAACTCGACCATGACGGGGCTGTATCTCGTGCTACTCTCATCTAGATGTACCAGTCACAGCCATATTTACTTTAGATGCTGAACCTTAAACATGATTCTAACACCCTTTGATTTTTTTGATCATAGGGTCTTGTTTGACTAGTGTCTACTAGTTTGCTTCCAGTTTTTGGACATGAATGCATTATGGTTTTACATGTGTATAAAGGAAGGCTTGAACCAGGAGAAATGAGCATTGTGTTAAGATTGATATACAAGCTCTTGCTGATTCTGATTTCTTTGGGGAATTGCTTGATTAGTTCTGTGTTCAGAGAGTAGACATGTAGGAGGATGGTTAAAATGGGGCTTTTTGTAAAGGGCTACAGGGGTTGCCAAATTTTCAAAATTACTGAATAGAATGTAGAAGGAGGAGACTGGTAGGTGAGCCTGACAGATTAAAATGTGTTTCATCAGAGATGAGATAGCAAATCCCATGTATGTGCCGAGGGTTTGTCATTGTGGTGTACTTCAGATTTGCTTGAGCTTTTGAAGACTGCAGTGGTAAAAGTTAATTCTCTCACTGAAAAAGTACGCAGCCCCGTTAATAAGTTAGAGAAACTGCCAGAAGCAGAGATCCGTGCAGGAAGAGAGATCCGTTCTGTTGCTGCACAATACAGATTTGATAATGTGCTAATAATTGTTATAACAGTTGATTTTGGTACTAGGCATTTTCCTGAGCCATCTACATTTTGATTTTTAATAATAATGGTGATCATAACAGCAACAATAAAATCGTATGACCGTAACTTTATTGTTAAGTGTAAGTGTAGATTTGCCACAAGAGCAAAGGATGGACTTGAATAACTTATACAAATTGGACAAACAATGTGTTAACAAAATAGAGGCTACCAGATGCATGAAATGGGTAAAATGAACAACAAAAGGTACATTTTAAAATTCTGGAGGTTTCCCTGTGGTGCTGCCAACTTACCATCTGCTTCAACCCAGCTGTGTTAAAGGGATAAACAGGATTACTCACAGTGGCATAAACAACAGGCTAGTGGAAATATTCTATTCAGAATACTTGATTTATTGCTTTGATTTATATAATAAACTGTGTTACCTTATGCTGTAGTTGCTTTGTTAGTAGTTGTGCGACTTCCTCAGTAACTGACAGTTTCATTCCGTTAATCAGTGGTTCACATAGCTGTACCTACTTTCATCTGAATGTGATCTGACAGTCAGCAACCTCACTGCCCAGATCTCTCAGTGCTAATGAAATTACAGCATCTCGGTATTTGATTATTGCATAGCAGTTCTGTACCCATCACAGAAGGATCTTCATCCAGTTCTGTCAACATATGTCAGCACCGAGGGAGATGAACTTAGAGTTTTCTTACGCAGAAATGTGAGGCCAAGGACCATGTGGTGTTCTGGGCTCTGGTACGATGGCCTCTGCTATCCTGAGGAGTGGCAGATGTTCACGCATCTATTAGGAGACCTCATTCCCCAGCTGTTGTGAACTGCAAGTTACTGAATTTTACTCATTCAGTTTTATCCCATTTCACTTTTTTCCTTGCCAAAATCTACCCCTTGCAATGAGCTTTACATCTTTAAGGGGAAATCAGAAACCAAATCAGTGCATTTCTGACTGAATGCACTTCAAGTATTATTGTAAGGTAGGAGTGAAGTCTGATGACTTGTGTTAGGCATCAGGATCAAACTGTAATTTGCAGTTATACTTCATAGTCTCTCTTTTCAATGACCATATCAAGATTAAGATTGGATTTAGAATCCACCCTTTAAGCACCACAAAAAGGGTCTTTTCAGATTGGTGTCTTCCAGAATTTCAAGCAGGTGATCCTTCTAATTTTCCGAAGTCAAAACATTCTCTCCAATGAAGTCTTCAATTATCCTTTTTATTTCAGAAGTTATTCAGTTTTAGTGTGTTCAGAAATTGATTGCATAAATTAATGTATGGCTTCTGTTTAATGGTGACCTTCCTAGCTTGTCAAGTGTTGTATACCTAATGACACCTTCATCTTACTCCCTAAATTATATTATTTGTGAGGATGCTTGAGACGTACAAGGAAGCTGTGGAAGTTCATGTAACAGCATATGTTGATGTGGACACTCAGTTATATGACAGAAAAAGTAGTCATGTAGTTCTGTGGTTTGCGTACCTTAATTGTCACTGCCATGGGTTTTGCTGGAGTGTTTCAAATTGAGTCAGAAGCTTTAAGCGTGTAGGTAGATACAGATGTCAACAAAGGCTCTCTACACAAGTGGAAGAGCCCTGTGCCAGTTGTTTTGTGAACAGTCAGGGTCAATATAAAGCAGAGCTTGTCCACAGTCAGCAGGGACAACCAAAACACACCATGACTGAATTCGCATGAAACCCCCTGATTTAATGATGTCTTTGGCCTCACTGTGTTTTGAGACTTTGTTCCATAAATCCTTGGACTTTTTCTAGGGAAGGCCACATTTATTCAAAGCATAAGTTATTTGCATTTCCTTTTAAGTTTTCTAACTTTAGCACTCATGGCGCAGATGAAGGAGCTTCTGCCTCACAGATTTTCCATTTACATAAAATAACCCACCCACAAACACCCTTCACTGTCAGTGCATCCGTTTTGCTGAGTGCTTTTCATTTACCATGACCTTGAAAACATAAGGGCGTTTATTAATTAATTCAAATTTACAGATGGGTGGAGGAGAGAATTGCAGATTGGAGATAAACAATTTGTTGTATGCCCCTTATTTGATGAGGATTGTAGAAGGAGAAATAGTCCTCACTGTTGCCAAGATTTCCCATCCCAATCAACTGTGTTTTTCATTTAACCACTGGTGAGATAGTGACCCTAGCAGGAAGAGAAGAGTCTGGAATTAGAGTAAGTATCATAAACTGAATTCCCAGCAGTCTTGGATATGGACAGGAGCTGTA